AAAATCACATAAAGCCATATTATAACATCGACTGAGATAAAGAATAAAATGAAATATTAAAAACACGATGTATCTCGCTGCATTGCGCGAGTACGCTTCTAGTATATACTAGAATGATACATGTGCAATGCAGTGAGACATAACTGAATTTTAATGTTTCTTTTTAATTTTTTTTTGTCTCTGTCAATGCTATAATAAAGTTTTATATGGTTTTGAACGAACACTAATGTTTTTTTAATAAATACAAATTTGAAGATATTATAAAAATTTAAAAAAAATTCTCCTTCTTCTGTGTAATTTCAATAGTTCAAAATTTTATTATTATTTAATTTAGATTTAATAATAAAATAATTTATTTTTGGTTTAATAGTATAATTTTTTGTAAAGATAATAACTAAATATTCTGTTAGAACTCAATAATTATCTTAATTATATTTTAGATTTTATATTTAAATTGAGAAGTTTATCTTATATTTAGTTATATTTATCAACAGTTAGTTACACGAATTCAAACATGGAGTTTCAATAAGTTGTACTTACGCATAATTTACTTATAATCTTGAATTTTAAATAATATGCATCAATAAACAGTATTTCATGCATAAAAAATGGTTTTTAAGAGTTTTTGTCAAATGTTTTATAATATAGTATATATATATATATATATATATATATGTGTGTGTGTGTATGTATGTATGTATGTATGTATGTATGTATGTATGTATGTATCTATACAGGTTTAAACGAAAAGATGGTTAATTTACGAGAATATGAAAAGAAATATGAGCTACATAAATACATAATCTGTTAATTAAAAAAATATAAAATAATTTTAGAAATGAAGATAATTACTATTTTAAATTGTATAAATCTCAAAAATCTTATTATATCTCTTATTTATATATTTATTTTTTAATTTTTATTAATTCACAATTTTTATAATCAAGTTTTATATAAAAAAAAAATTTAGATATATTTTTAATAAAAAAAATTCACGATTTTTATCAAATATCATAATTTAGTTCACACTTACATTCCAACTATAATAATGAATATAATAACAATAAGTTTTAAGTGTTGTTATAATTCCAAACAATGTCATAGTAGAAATTTGACATAAAAATCGTAATCTTTCACATCTAATGACCAAGTAAAATAAAAGTCAAAGTGGTCACTAGTTTGACCCAACAAATTGTCTATTTTCAATCTTATTTCACCCCAACTCATTATTTTAATATTTAATTCTAAGAGTTAAACAGAATATCCATCATATTTAATTCAGTTGGTAGACGTTCAATTTATAAAAATCGTAACACCAATAAGCTTATATGATAAAAAAAATGTTATTAGTTTTCATCACTTTTTTCTCGATGTTAAATGTTTGTCGATTATCACTTGTTCTTTTGTTATTGATGTTATTAGGTTTTAATTAATAAAATCATAATAATATTCTTATTATTATTAAATTATATTCTTTACATCAAATTAATTGGAAGCACCTTCTAAGTTTTTGGTTGACTTAACATATATTAAAAACAATTAACTATTTAATCAATTTTAAACAAAATAAAAAATTCATATGAATTTGAATTAACAACTTATGATTATGAACAAAAGAGGTTTTTGTGAAAAATAAAGTTAAAATAAGAAGCGTAAGAACGAGTCTTATTTTTCGATGTATCAAAACATTGGTTTTTGGTACTTAAAATATGAAATCTCAAACATTTATATTTTAAATATAAAATCAATTTTTTAAAATCAAATTATCTAAAATAGAATTTAAATTCAATATGGATATTTTTCGGAAAAAACATAAGGAATTATGAAAAGGAAAAAAAAAAAAAAAAGGAGAAGGGAGTAGAAGAAGGAGGCGTTGGAGGCAAGTAAACCCCACCTCCTCAACCGCTTTCTCTCCTTTTTTATATATACACTTACACATATGCATATTATATACTCCATGATCATCCACAAATTTCCTCCATTTTTAAGTTTCTCAGATTGCTTCCGTGACTTCCATTCAATTCTTCAAAATCCCATCAACAATCAAAGATCTTATCCTATCTTACTAAGGTAATGTGCCAGCTATACCTTCCTCCATGAATGAATTCTTGATACTGAAGTGGGTTTCTGTTTCCGTTTCTGATTGGGGGCTTTTTTGAATTCAATAATTGATTGATTGAGATGTTCATGGTGATTCGATTCGGTTCGATTCAGATTTTGGGGTTTTCTAGGGCGAGTGCTTTCTATAAAGATTTAACTGGAAAAAGAATTATTCTCCGCTGACTGTTCTGATCTTTTCACTTTTACTTATCAGATTTATTTGAAGTAATACTTGATTATTATACCTGTGAATTGACTTGGGTTTGTTTCCAATTAGGTTATGTTTGTATCACCCTCTTTAAATTCATTCAAAATCAACAATTTGTTCTTCAATTTTTAGCTCCTAGTTTTGGCGGCAAAAGGGAAGATTAGAAGAAGAAGATGTTGGGTGAACTCATCACCAGCTGCCTTGTGTAAGTCACTTTCGTTACTAAATCTCAATTTTTACTGGATTTGATTTGGGGAAAGATAAACCTCAATGGAGCGATTCATAGTTTAGCCTTTATTTATATATTCATGGAAAAAAAACCTCGGGTGAAACCTTGGTAACTGTTCATCTTGACTGAAAGCATAATTTGTAAGCATTTTGTCTTATTTGCACGTATACATGTATACTTGCATAAAACCAAGAAACAAGTTCAATTATTTATATGTACGATGTCCAGATGAATAGTTATTAGGGTGTTCTCTGTTCTCTATTTGTAAATAGTAATTGGAGTTAAAATGGACTTCAAATTGTTTACTCCATGTTTGGTTATGGGTGCAGGTTGATTCTTGGATATGCATATCCAGCTTTTGAGTGCTTTAAAACCATTGAGAAGCATGGAGTTGAAAATGGAGAATTAAGATTTTGGTGTCAATATTGGTGAGTTTCCATCTCTCATCTTCTTCAAATTCAATCATTGAAAGTTGACCTAATTGGGTGTTTGGTCAACTACTTTGTTCCCCTCTAATTGTTCATGGAGGTAAAATTTAGGATGAATTCACTTTTCCATGATAATGGAACATGGAGAATGTTACATAATTATAAGTATCGGTGTTTGAAAACCTTTCATGATTAGGCACCGAAGAATATTGGATGATTTTGAGTATAATCATAATAAGGTTTGCAAGACACCTTTCGTTCTAATTATTGAAAGAGACATGTTTTGTCATTATGAGTTTGAGTTGCTTGTTCATGTCTTATTCAACCAATAGTCTTTTCAATTTTTAAACTACCGATAATTATATGTAGTTAACAGAATGAAAAATTTAGCACGAAAACCCGTATACGTCCCTTCGAGTACAAGATTTCATTTTACTTTTAGATTTGTAAAGAAGGGCCCATTAGAGTCATGCTCTTGGAGATGTTTTGAGTAATAATGATGATGGAAAATCACATGCAACATGTTCCTGGTTTTTTTGGCAACAAATGGTTGCTTATTTTTCCAAGAAAAAGAAAACTTGTTTGCGCCAAACTATAAAAAGCTTTTGCGTAAAGGTTGCAATTTTCATCTAACGTGTTCAGGGTTTCTCGTATTGGTGTCACAGTATGATCTTGAGGCGTGTTGGTTACATTTTGAGCAAGTACTTTTGACTTCTTTTCAGGGTCATCGTTGCAATACTCACAGTTTTTGAAAGGGTTGGTGATATATTCATCTCATGGTATGTTTTCTTTGATGAAAATCTCTTAACCTGAACTCCGTGTTCCCACCCTATCCCAGATATATTCATGTCTGATATTGCTATGTTAGCATATGATTGATAGACAGAAAGGGATATGGAGTTTGGGGACAGAAGATTTTTATTCCAATTTTCTTTAAGACTACTTAGAAATTTACACATGGGATGCCAAAAATAATCCTTTCATGATGAAACTCTTGTAGGGTACCAATGTATGGAGAGATGAAGCTAGCACTCATTATCTATTTATGGTATCCTAAGACTAAGGTAAAAGAACATGAAATCGAAGCTAAAGCACTTGTACTTTGTGCAATGAAAGTTGTACATTTCAATCATAATAAGAGGAAAGTTTATGCAGGGAACCTGGTATGTATATGAAGCGATGTTGAGGCCATTTGTAGAAAGGCATGAGACAGATATAGAAAGGAGCTTAAAGGAATTGAGAGCCAAAGCATGGGATGTGGCCATATATTATTGGCACAATTCTACAGAATTAGGCCAAACCAAGTTCTTTGAAATTTTTCATTATTTGGTCTCAAGGCCTTCAACACCTCTGGTATCATCTTTTTTCCCTTCTTTTAGTTTATCATATTATAACTGATTATAATTAGGGATGTAAAAAAAACCTGATCAAACCGACAATCTGAAGCCAATTGTGACCTAATCAGGTTATAAAATCTTCAAACTATAGGTATTAGGTTCGAATTAAGTGAGACCCATTTAAACCCAACCCAACCCAACCCAACCAGAAGAATCTGATACCCCTCTTGTATATCATACACATGTTCGCGTGCCTTTGTTATGCATGGATGTGACATTGGTTAGCTACTTGGCTCTTTCTATAAGGGTATCATAATTTCATCCATAATTTTATTTTCCACTTGCAAGAATCTTTAACTTTCTACTTCATACTGGACTGCTTGTGTGGTTTTTTCCTTTGTTCCGCATATGGCATAGAAAATCAATTAATTGGTAGTAGTGATTAATGGTTGTTTAAGTATAGTGTTGCATTTATGCTATTATGTCACAATCCGACCAACCCAACTGGTGCTTATGCTATAGATATTCATTTACAGGTGATATTTTTGAAACCTAGCTAGTTGGGTTGGATTGTTCAATCGCCTTTAAACCAACCAAACCAAGCTAAACCATATGATCCCTATTTAAAATTATTTAAAGGTTGTAAGTTTGAACCCAATATTTTTCCCTTCAAGATGAAAAATTTGAATCCATGTATACCCAGTAACTTCTTGCAGGTTAATCTTGAATCTGTTTGATACCTATTGTAGGTGCATTGGTTTAGAGTTGCTCCAAATAGACTAAGGGGTTTTAATGGTTGATTAGTTTTCTATTAAGTCCTTTATGGATAAAGTTGTCTGTATAGATTGGAAAAAAAAATTGTTTGGAAGAGTTTTTCATAGACGGAAGGAGCGTGATTTTTAATTAGGAATGATATGTTTGGAAAAAAAAAACTTGACTTACGACATAAAACTCCCTCATAGAAGCTTACTAAATAAACCATTTTCTATATCATTAAGCCACTACCAAACAGTACGTATAACTGACCAAATAAGTTGTGAGTTTCATGAAGTTGCTAACAAACATGTCCTAACCGATGAAGTCAAATACTAGTTTCCAACTAGACTGTTCAATCTTCTCAAAAGACTTGTCAGGGCTAATTGTAACCGAACCAACCTTTAGAGGTTTGGTTCAACGACAACTTTCCAGTCGATAGGCATCCCAAAAGCAAAAAGTTTTAAATCGTTTTTGGTGGGATGCGGCCATATACCAATTTCTTTTAAGACCAACATTTTGTTCGACTTGAATGGATACGTGAGAATACCATAGTTATAAAAATGAAAAGAAAAAGAGCACAACTAAACCACTCACATCAAGTGGTTAAGATTTACAGGTCTGGTATTTGATCTCAGGCCCTCGCTAGCCTCAACCAGAGTGAGGCAAAAAAATGCCCCCTAACATTGTCCTCCTTCGAGACAGGTTCCGGATAGGGTCCGTTAAAGTAAAGTTGCCGGTGATCAACTTTTTGCTGAAATTGGTTAAAGATTTGTTAAAGGCTAGGTGGAACTGTGTGACTACTTCCACAAATGAATTTTGTAACGTTGTTAGACGGGACTAGACTAGATGAGCAAGAGTAATGTAGGTGTGTGAAAGAATTATGCAAAGTTATTGCTAAATGCAAGATCAGTAGGTTCGATTGGGACTTATCCATCAACCAATGAATTATTGAGAGGGTGTTGAATCAGTCCCACCAATTGGTCCAGCCTATAGAAACTAGCCACCCAACAGTCCAACACCACTAGTCATGGTGGTCATTGTCCCACCTCCTTACATTTTTAACACATGAAGGTCTTTGATCGTCGATGGTTATTGTAGTTGAAAATCTTGGTACATGCACTTGCTATATGGAAATTTGTGACCTTTTTTGTTTTGAGCAGGTGATGGAAAATCATCAGAACTCAGGGGACGGACGTCCGCCTCCACCTCCGGTGAATCCAGCCTCTTTTTTCCGATCAGAGCAGGCTGATGAGAGGTGGGAACCGACTGCTCCACCGCTACCAAACACCAGCCGACATCAACCTGTGTATGCGGAGGAACTGCACCTTCCAGCGTCGCCAAGTAGATCCGGTTCGAGTTCGGGTCACAGAGAACCCGTTTGGCTAAGATTTAGACGCTCCAGGGGAGTTTGATTGGTAGAATGAAGGGAGGATGGATGGATATGTACAAATTGTAAAGAAGTAAAGAAGGAAATTTGTATCTTGATTTTCATTCATTCAATTGATTTTTTTTCTTTGTTGTTACAAATTAGAGAAGAAAATCAAAGCAAACCTAACCTATGAGGCTATGATGAAGGGTGATGGACGATTTGATTACCTGTTTACGTGTTATAATTGGGAGCCGACTTGAAGGCAATCGAAGGCTGCGGTTACGAGACGGAGGACGGCGGTCCAGAGGCGGTGGAAGACGGTGGATGGATGGGGTTGAGGGGAGGTGGACATAGGTTGAAGATAAGCCCAGGCCGCCTGTTTGACAAGGCGGTTCCGAATGGAGATTTCATAGCCGGAATCGGAGGGAGGTTTGGGGGAGTGGACGATGGATGGTGGGGATGGGAGGATGTCTCGGAGAGAGGTATAGCAAGTGGGTTTGATGGAGACCAGCTCGAAATCGACTGAAGAAGAGGAAGATGTGGCGGTGGTAGTGGTGGTGGTGGAGGAGGAGGAGAAGAGATCGTGGAATTTGGTGGGTGTTCCGATGGAGTTCCGTCGTCGGAGGATGGAGATAGGTGGTGTAGTGGAATCATCGGCGGCGGCCATGGCAGAAGATGAAATTGAGAAAGTGGAGAAAAAGAGAGGAGTATATATTTGAGAAATGACAAGTAGGAGCTTGTGTAGTATGAGTAAAGCCAATTATTGGCGTATACTGTTCTTGTTTTTGTATTTTCTTCAAGATTTACTAAAACCAATATTTCCTTTAAATATCTAATTTTAAAAACCCTAAAATATGCAAGAAAAAACCTTGAAAAACAATCAGAAGTTGCTTGGTAAAGATTGCATCTTTATTTAATGTTATATTAGAAATTTTCAAATTTAATTAATTTTAGAATCAAATAAAATGATATTTTATGCAGAAAGATGGCTTAGGTATGTGTATCTGAATGGTAGCATTAAGAAAAATATACAAATGGAATCAGATGATACAGATATTCGGATTTCGATGCTGGCGGAATGTAAACACCAAAAAAGGATGATGCTTTGTCAGATTCTCATCCAACTATTTGGTCAAATCCAAGTAGTTATAAAGTCAAAGCCTCAAAGGTGTCTTTAAATCTGTTGCTGGTTAACCAAAGAGTCAAGACCCAGACCCCATTTTGGTTCAATCTCTAGCTTTCTTTTTCCCCCATTGTTGAATGCTAATATGAAATAAAGAATGTATAGCCATTATCATGCAACAACCGAAGTTTACGTTGGATACATTGATAACGACAAAACATTAACCGCTTACGGGAAACTAAACTGCAAATAGATTGATTGTTCATAACTCAAGAAGAAGCATGATGAAGCTGCTGCTGCTGCTTTTTTATTCCCAACCTGACACTAGAGGCTGAATGGAATTTACTGTACAACAAACCTGCTGTTTCCTATCTGGACTTCATACGACTATTCTCTTCAAAACACCACTTCCCCAATGCTGATTTTCATCATGTAGATGATTCTTGTAGGTTGTCCAAGTATGAACATCATCAGCTTCTGGCATTGGCATTGAGGGATGCATCAGATGGTGGGGTGGTTGCCCTTGGTGTGCCTACTTCTGCCAACCCGAATTCTTCGCTAAGCAAGTCAACACCATCCCATTGGATTCCAGGTACTTCAACTAGTCAAGGCAATGCAATTCTCCTCCAAAGACACTAATTTGGGTCTCTACAAGATTCTATTATTTTGTTTTTGTTAAAACATATTTTACGGTCTTTTAACACTTCATTTGTAATATATGAACAATGGACATAAAACACAAGAAAAGCAGCAGCTTGAAAAGATAAAGAGAGGATACACTCGGTGTTCCAAATATCTGTCAGAGGAACTTCTCTGTCTGATAGAAGCCAATAGTCTGCATCATTCTGCAACAAATTACCAAATACAACCTCATTTTCTAAAAACTCTTAGCTGTAGGGCTTAATTTATTACAGATTTTAAGCGAATGTATTAAGTGGTCCGATTTAATGTGTAAAAATACGGTTCATATGAAATAACACTTGATGTTAAAGAGTAGTCCAGTTTCTCTATTGTCAATGTATTGAATATCAATGACTGGAATTGGGTAACCAACCAATTTGAGCCAAAACATAAGTTCAATCAAATATATAAAATACAATTTTGTCTTAGTTATGTAAAATTAGAATTTCGATACCATTTATACCTAAAATAATTACTAGTTCCATTGTTTCACTGATACACTTGACAGGAATTTTTTTGGCAAGATTCCCTCCATGATGAGAATAGTTCATTGATAAGCACAAGTTGAGAAAAGTCAATTAATCCCTGCTTAAGCTTTTCAGACACCTGAGTCAAAAATTGGTTGCTCATGAAGCAATGCGGAAAACTCCTAGGCGGCCAATTAAGCAGCCCTAACTAATCAAAGCGGTGGGCGAAAGCTTAACACTTTAACACTAAGCATCACTACACAAGGGTTATTTAGGAGAATAACCTGCTTACATTTTTTTCAAATGCATTTCTGACAGATTTTAAGACATTCTATTAGGCAGAGATATTTTTAAATCTGTCAGAAAGTTATTCTCCTAAATAACCCCACTACTACTTAAAAGACATTTAGAACACCAGTCTTCCTTGTTACTTCAAAAATTCAAGAGAATGAAAAGCATGCACAAGAAGGGGTGGATGCCTATGATTTTGATAGATCTACCTCAGCTTGTTCAGTTAATTTTATTTATTTACACCATTTACCTCAATTCTCCATTTTGTGGGTCCTACCCTGATTCCCTCACACTATAAATAAGAATTGACTCTCAGTTGGGTTACAAAAGGGTAATTTAGTAAAAAGCATTGAGGTAATCCCATGCCAGCAAGCTACTTCTACAACTTATGGATGAAAATAATTTAGGGGAACATTCAACGGTCCAATGTTATGAAATCGGTGTAAACTTTTATAAACATAAAATATTTCCTTGACCACTCAAGGCAAAGATGTTCTAAACAGTAGTTTCTTAAATTAGTACATATGAATTGAAACTTTGGTTTTCTATAATATAAAATTTAGTCTACTAAATTTTAGGTTATAAGGGTGAATATTTTTCTGACCGGATGGTATATCAAGTATTTGCACCATCATCTATCTCCTAGTCAGTGGAATTAAACTTATATGAAATGCATAAGCAAACTAGATATATGAACGAACCATTACTTACATCAACATCTGAAGGAACTATCCTCATAATCCTCCCAGGTGAGTCTTCAGGCATGTTTATATCAGAGCTCATACCATGAACATGTTGTGGTTGTGCTTCAATGGTCACCTCTGTTGCTGGATTATCATCGGAGCCAGAACTGGAAGCAACTGGTACTGTCATAGGTTGTTCAACCCCATCAATATCCTCAAACTTCTCTTCAAATTGACTAAATGCATGGAGCGAAATACAAGCACAGCCAAGAAGAACGTCATTAGGCTTTGAGGAAAGAAAAGTACAAGATCCACATAAGCATATAAATCCAATCATAAACAAACGTTAACAGTACCTGACAAGATATACATCGATAGGTCCCATTGTGCTTCTAAGGATTATCCTGTACCTCCTTTGTGGATAATCAACAGCCTGACAAATTAAGAAAAAGATCCCTCGTATATTTATATCATGCATTCTAGAATAAAGATTAGCTTCCCATTTCGTACTTACCTCGTCAGGATCAGGAACTTCAAGAGTGGTCCCATGAGGAGCCTTAATTGCTATCAAGGTTTCGTTCTATCAATTATAAACATCAAATGTTTAAAATCTTGCAAAAGTGTGAATTTACAAAACTACAGAAAGTTCATATAGAACAATCCAAAAAATAAAAACTTGTTTAGTACTCATTGCACCACATAAACTTCACCTGGAAGCATGGTAGACTTTTTATGTCATCTTCAGTCACAAAAAGCCATCTAGAACAGTGAGATATCAGTAATGATCTTAAACTTATAATAGTTGAACAACGCTATTAACATAAATGAAGGAGGAGAGAAAGTCACTTTTGGTTTGTGTTATCTTCACTCAAGTCCCTCATTCTTTCCTGCATTTCCCTGCAAAAGCCTCAAAATCAACTCAATAAGATGGTTTCATAAAAGCAACATTGGCAACTCTGATAATGTGAAGAACAAAAAAAAAAAAAAACAAGTAACCTGATGCTTTCATCTAATCTATGCTCCTCCATTGAAAGCTTTTGAACTTCTGCCTGCAACCAAAAACCAAAAGTTGACAGGTCATAAGCTAACACTCATGCAAAAGAGCTGTGGCATATTTAAACACTGCAATGAGTGAAAAAAGGTTGATGAATCTAGGCAGTAATAAAGAAGACTAACTAATAAAACAATTGACCATATGCAAACCAACATCCACTACTTCCCACCTGTAACAGAGTGACATCATCTTCCAACTCACCAGGTTTTGAAGCATCAAGACCCCTAAACAGATATTTCCAAGATTGCACATAAGTTCAATATGTAAGTAGGTCAACATTTGCAAAGTAGTATGTGTTATGAAAACATGCAAAAGAACCTTACTTCCAGCGGATTCTATTTTTTAACTTCTTTTCGATTAGACCAATCCCTTCAAGAACATTTGTTATATCATATATCCGCCTTTTCTGCACCTGTATCATCATAACTTCTTAACTAGGATCTTATACAAAAAAAAAAACACATCCAATATAAGTATTCTTCAAAAAGAAAAGAAAAAGTACCTCCAAGGTATCAGCAGCATTATTTAAATCAAGAATGCCATCTTCAGCATGTTTTATGAGATTAATGAATTTTTTTGTCAAAAGGCCTGCAAAGGTCGAAACATGTCCTAAGAAATAACTCCATTCAAATAAATGGAAAAACATTTAGCAGAGCCAATAGGAATACATCAACCAGAAGTTACCTAGTGAGCTGTCATACCGGCAGTTGCCAACTGGAGTAAGTGGAGAAGGTGAACCTGTGTTGCATACAATTGTGGTTCTTTTTCTCAGTGAATCCATAATAGTTATACATAATTAATCGACTAATTCTTCGAGATAGTATAAATTGTAGGAAAAACAGGTCAGTAACAATGATAATGGTGCAAACAAACAAAGACTTCACCCAGGCCTCACCGGTATTTGAAATGGGGGTCTGAGGAGCAGGTTTGCTGCTCTTTGTGACCCTTGAACGTCCGTTCATCCTTCCGCCTTTTCCAGATACTGGAGTGCGAACGGGACTGTTAACTGTACCAGTGTAACCAGGACTGGCCCATTCATTAGATGGAACTTCATTGTAGTCTGTTCCAAGTTTTCGCTTCACTGGCTGTGGAACAGGAATAACGAACAGCAAAACGATGATGGTTTAAACCTCAACCATGAAAATGAAAATATTAGAAGTTTAGAACTGATGAATGAATCTGATGGAAAACAAACATATATATATATATATATATATATATATATCATATCTTTTCTTAGTTATGCATCTGCTTGTAATCCAGAAAACCATCTGAAAGTTATGCATCTACTGAGTTTTGGGAATGGAACTAAAGGCCTCTAGGTTATCTTCCAACCACTTAAACTAGGTCAGCTGATTTGGGGCATAATCTACCATGAAATTAGTCTTGAAATTAAAAAGAATTGTACAAAAATTTGAAATTTCTCTTGAGCAAAAACGCTAAGGTGAGCCTTCAATTAAACCCAAGAACAGTTCCAGGAAAAAGTAAGAACCAATGCAACAATTAGACTCATAAAAAGTACAATTATAACATGTAAATGTTTACACTACCGGAGATTTAACTATGATGAGTTCAGCCTCCTGATCGACGGTGGTGGCGACTCTATTCCCGTCGTTTCCGGACGAGAAACGATGGTAATCATCGGAAGGAATAAACGGCGGTCTAGTCGAGGAGAACGGTAAGTGACGTCTCATTGGATGCAGGATCTGTCCTCCTCCTCCACCGGCAACTGATGCGTGCGATGGTGGTGGCGCCGCCTGCCGGTTTGGAGCTCGAGCTTCAGACATTTTTTGTAATTTTATTATTAAAAGTTAAAAAAGAAGGTATTTTTAATGAAGACAATTGAATTGAATTTAGGGTTTAGAAGATGATAGAAGCAGAAAAAGGGGTTTGAAGGGTTTTAGAGAGAGAAAGCAAGGGATCTGTGAAAATGGAGGGTTTGTTTTAGAGAGAGAAAGCGAGGGTTTGGAAGAGAAAGTGGGGGTTCGATTAGGGAGAGCAGAAAACGAGGGAAGGAGGGAATTTTTGGTTCGGATAGATGTGGAGGGAAGAAAAAATAAAAAACATTTGGGGTCGACCTCAAGTCCTTATACTTTCACTTTATGACTTATCAGCCCCTCTAGTTTTTTTTTTAACATATCAATCATTATGATTCGGTACACGTCAACATCTTAATGTTGTTTACTTAGGGGTTGTTTGACAGTTGCTGAATGGTTTGGTGCAGAATGATTAAGTGGTCAGAATGATTAAGAAGCTTTCATGATTTAATGCAAAATGAAATATAATTGTTTGGTAATTGTTTACAATGAAATCAGGACACTTCATGGTTAAGGGAGGCTCAGGATACAAAATCATTCAGAGGGTATTAGAACCATTAAGCGGCAGACTTTTTTTTGCCAAATAAGATTCACCTCTTAATGATTCAAATGTTTCATCTTAATGGAACTATTAAGAGGTAAACAAACAACCCCTTGGTGTTCTGCCATTTCATGAAATTAGGTTGCCCCCCGTTACCGCAAGATATATTGATTGCTACTTCATCTTTTTAAACAAATTGCTTAGTATTTGAACTACGTTCTTTTATTGATAAAATACTCTAATCTTATAGATATGTATCCTACAAAACCATCCTTGAAATTGCAGCTTCCAATTTTGTTATAAATTGATTGAACTTACTAGGCGTTAGTCAAACACTTTTTCTTACTGACATGTGTAACAGGGCATTGTAAGGTTGAGCCCAAGAGTCGGTGATTCTATAGCTTGGAAGTCATTTAGTGGCACAAGTGAGATAAACATTTTTTTAAGAGCTCTTATATTTTGAAGATAGCAAACTTTGGTGGTTGATGTAACCCCTGACTTAAATCTAGCTCTAATATAATCAAATAGAAGCTTGTAGTACTACAATACCTAAGTTTGATTTTTGTGCTACCATGTAAAAACTAATACCCTTTTCGGGTAATTACTCTTATTTTATGTTATATGACCCGTTTTTTACCGTGCTTTAAATTATCGATCAAAATATATACAAGATGAAAGAATTGAAAGGTTATCACATTGATTAAAAAACATATCGTTCATAGGAACAAAATTCTCATTTTTAACAAACAAGAGGGGGGGGGGAGGGTAATTTAGTCTAAAAATGAGTTTAAAAATGTATACTCAAGCCTACATCAAACTCACAAGAACCTAAACATAGCATAATTAGTTCCTGGATGATATAATTATACATAAACTGATGAGAGTTCAAGTTTGAGGGTTGCAGTATAAGTTACAATTCTTTGAAGAGTAGACTTCTTATAGGCATTAAACTTTTAAACCAACCATCTAACTGATCGTTTTGTTACTGATTTGTCTCTCACATATGTTTGGAATAAAGTCGTTTCAAAGATTCGAACTAATAAAGGTGTTGTTTCCAAGAATCTTGATGATATATACACAAAATGAAAAAGAATAATGTATAATAATAATAGCACTTTAAAACTACCATTAGTCAGTAGTCACTATGGTGTGTTTAATACCAAAATGGAGAAATTCTTCACCGGCATGAAAGACCCACATCACGCCTCCAACCATTCCAAGAAAATAGCTTCTCGCTCAACCTCAAATTCGACGGCAACGGTAAACACACACTCTTTTCCACACACCGCCAGTGCCTTGGCTTTATCATATTTTCTAAGCCAAACAAAAGGTATTGTGGGAACTCCACCAGTTCCTTCGAATTTCCACCACAAAGCAATTGAATTTCAGCTCAATTTTGTCTTTTATACCATACTAAAACAACAGTGGGGAAACCTTGGAAAATCAAGATCGTGTCGTTGTAGGGGATCCTGATGTTTTTGTGGAAGTATTGGATTCGAGGGAGGAGTATGTCTTTGACGGAACTAGATATAAAATGGGTGTTTGTTAATCTCCGAAATGCCAATCATTCCCCAGAGGAGTAGTAGAGGGTGTCTAGTAGGTCAGAGGTTCAAACTCACCAAAAATGAATAGGATGTGTGAGTATATATGTTGTTTTTACCGTATATAAAAATTATATACTTAAAAAAAGGGAAGTGAATTTCTTGAGAAATGAATAGTAATTAACATCTTGATTGACTGATTACGTTACGTTAGGTTATGGTGGGCTTGTGAGTTGTGACCCAAGAACACGAGTGGGCTTCCAAATTACAGGCCCATGCAAGATAAATCGACTAGCCTTAAAATCACCAATACCTTTTGTATTATTTTTAAATTATTATAAGAGTACTCGTGTAATGCAACGATTTTAATATTTTATTTTATTATTTGTCTTTGTCGATATTATAATACGATTTTATGTGTTTTTTAAGAAAGTAATAATGATTTTATTTTTGAATAAAATCTAAATTTGAAGATATCATAAAAAATTTAAAAAAATATATCAATATTAATATTAAATTAACTATTTAAAAGTTTTTATTTTTTTATGTAATTTCTTTAATTTTTTTATTATAATTTAATTTAAGTTTAATAATGAAATAATTTATTTTTTTGTTTAATATTATAAATTTTATAAAGATAATAATTAAGTATTCTGTTAGAACTCAATGATTATCATAATTATATTTTAGATTTTTTATATTTCAAATGAGATATTTATCATGTATTTGATTATGTTTATCTGGAGTTAGTTACGCAAATTCAGAGTTAGTTACGCAAATTCAGATATGGAGCTTTAATAAGTTGTATTTACGCACAATCTACTTGTAATCTTGAGTTTTAAGTAATATGCATTAACAAACAGTACTTTACGCATAAAAATGATTTTTAAGAGTTTTAGCCAAATGCTTTATAATATAGTTGGTCGGTTATATTACACACCTTCAGACTAATGAAATTGGGCCAAAAAGCAAGTATACAATATGGCCCAACGTCGCCTTTCCAAGTAATAAGTGGTACAAGTACCGAGTTATCGTCCACAGAGATTGTAGCCAAAGTTAGATTAGAGTCCAATGAAAGAGATGATTTCAGAAGACGATTTTTGAAGACTTTTCTTTGATTTTAAGGTTATCCAAAACAGAATACAGAATATAAAGGAAGCAAGGGTGTAAGACTTAAGGTGAGACCTAAACACAAATTCCAGCAGCCAATGCTGTAGCAATGCTACAGCAAGCAGTGTTTCGAAACTAARTTCCACCATCTATTTTGAAGGCATTCCTCTCGGACTTCACCATTGCATTATCTTATAGCTTTCCAACCATATCTCTATGAGGTGTCTGGACCGGGGATAGTGACACGATGGTGTATTCAAAATATATGGATAAACAAATCTCTTTGTTAAAAATCACTCTCTCGAGTCGATTCCCATATCATTCGAGTTGGCGTGTTCTTGATATTTCATCTCTGAATATATCACACTTTGACATTTTTGACAAGCGACCAACCCGTCAGGAGCTACGTTTTGAAAAACATAAATGACAAGTCTCCTTGTCGGCAACTTTCTCAAGTCTACCTCTTATGTCATCCAAGTTGACGTGCTTAATGATGGCTTATCTCTAAGTCCATCGCACTTTAACACTTTCAAGTGATCAACCCGTCAAGAAGTGTGCTTGGTTTTATAAAAACTCGAATGAAACAATGGAACGTCGTATTCGAAACACTTAGCTACTTTCGTTTAGTTTAAAAATCTCACCTTTCCGTCTTACACCCAAGCTATAAAAGCTTAGCTACTCATGACGGAAAGTAAAAAATAAATGACGTAAAATAAAGACATAAATGTAAATTGCGCAAAATAAATGACGATAAAATAAATTGTGGAAATGTAAATGACAATAAAGTAAATGACGGGAATGTAAATGACAAGAATATAAATAGCGTAAAATAAATGACAGAATGTAAATAACGTAAAGTAAATGACGGAAATGTAAAGACGAGAAAGTAAATRGCGGAAAATAAAAGACAAGAAATTAAATAAATAAAAAGATGAAGATGAACTTGAAGAACTTGAAGAGGGTTTAAAGGAAAAGGAAGAGAAGTTGGGAGAAAAGTTGGGAGAATTCAAAGGATTATGGATTAATTGGGTGAGAAATGTTGTAACCTTAGCCTCCTATTTATACCCAAAATGGGCACTAAAAGACAAAATAACAAAGCTTGGAGGCTAAGCTTACCAACACTAGTTACAATACAACTAAAGCTTTAACTAAAAAGTACAACACATAACTAAAGTTTAAMTACAAAGTACATAAAGCAAACTAGAGAGTACAAGAGTTTAACTAGAGAGTACATATGATTTTCTACTAAAAATACAGCTCATTTACAGCTGTACTCCATCTCCAAAAAGTCAACGTCTTGTTCATTAAGTCCTCCAAAAAGTCGTGCAAGACCTAGGCCAACGCTGCACCAATGCTCTAGCATTTGCTGTTTTMACAAAAACTTCAATTTAGCTTCAATTTATGCATGCCATCAAGTCAACCACAACATTTAGCTTCATAATAACAAAAGTATAAAGAAATAAATGAAAATGACTCAATTTGGGAATGAAAAGAAATTATCGTAACTAAAAAGTCCTAAAAAGAGCGTGTTATGTGTTAAATTCTCAACACATATCAATAGTATAGATTCAATCTTTTAAATTGTATAAGTTCCATTTTGGCCCCCCAAAAAGTGTTATAAATATTATACGAAAGGAGACACTAGCAAAGAGTGATTGGTATGTTTAAATTATGTAAAATTAGCCTTTTAGACATAAACTAAAGGTCGTGTGAGAACCACTGCTAAAAGTGAGAATTGAAGAAGTGATCGAGAACTTTTAATCTCACAACAATCCATG